GGCCAGGCGCTTTCACCGTCACGCACGGAGGATGGCTCCTAGAGCTCTGTGTGAGCCAGCACCGGGCAGCACCAGGCCACACCGGGCCGCACCGGGCAGCACTGGGCAGCACTGGGCCGCACCGGGCCCACAGGGCAGCACCAGGCCACACCGGGCAGCACCGGGCCGCACCAGGCCACACTGGGCCACACCAGGCCACACCGGGCAGCACCGGGCCGCACCAGGCCATACTGGGCCACACCAGGCCACACCGGGCCGCACCAGGCCACACCGGGCAGCACCTGGCAGCACCGGGCAGCACCGGGCCACACCAGGCCATACTGGGCCGCACTAGGCCACACCGGGCCGCACCAGGCCACACCGGGCAGCACCTGGCAGCACCAGGCCACACCGGGCCGGCAGCTCTCAGCCAGGAAAGCTTCCCTGGAAAGTGGCGACCCCCCCACACCTGCAGGTGTAGCTCCTCTCGGCAGAGCGCAGCACCCCTCGTCTCTCTGCCGTCCGCTCGAGCCCGAGGCTCACAGAATCGCAGCCGGACAGGGGGCGGTCAGCAGCCCAACCTCCCTCGTTCGCCGGTCATTACCCCGAGGCCCAGCTGCTGGCGGAGGTGGATCCAGAGCCCAGCCTCCTGCCTCACAGCCAGGCCCACCAGCCAAGGAAATCCAGGAAGCTCTTCCACCGCCGCGCACACAGGTGTCAGCGGGGAGGGAGGTCCTGGGAGCCACCTGAGGACGGGCTCATGGGAAAGGCGGCAGCAGAGCAGGTGTCCCCGTCGCTCTCAGCGCTCATCCAGGGCCACAGCGCAGACTTCAGAACAGAATTCACTTCCCAGAGCGTGAGGGTCCTCCCGGCAGGCACACGCCCACCGCCAGGCTCACAGGCAGCCACGTGACCTCCTGAGTTAGAACTCCAAGTAACAAGAAAAATAAATGTAAAAACATACAGCCCCGGCCAGGTAGCTCAGTGTGTTGGAGCCTGGTCCCGATTCGCCAAGGTTGTGGGTTCGATCCCAGTTAGGCACAGAGGGGACTCAATCGAGAAATGCATCAATAGGTGTAACAACAAATTAATGTCTCTCTCTCTCTCTCTAAATCAATTTTTAAAAAATTTAAAAATCAAAAACTTAAAGCTGCAGAAAAGGATAGAAAACAATGCCATGAAATGTAATCAGACCACCCCCAAATCTGGATTTAACAGCATGTTGCCATACTGGCATCTGTGTGTGTGTGTGTGTGTGTGTGTGTGTGTTTAAAGAAATAAAACATTTCAGATAAATGTGAAGTCCCTGTGTACCCCAGTCCAAGTCCATTCCCCCAGACACCCCAGGGGGACCCTCCAGCCTCGTTTTCCTCTGTCACTAGCGCGAGAGCACGCACACACACACACACACACACACACACGCGCGCGCGTGCACACACACACACAGATGGCACCCACTGACAATGGTTGGACTTCTGTTTCACTTTGTGATGGTGCAAACGCGATGTGGTTCAGCAGAAACCAGCGAGGCTGAATGATGACGCTGGGTAGGTTGAATGCATGTTCAACTCACGATATTTTCAACTTGAGACGGGTTTCGGACGTCGCCCCGTCGTCAGCCCAGGAGCATCTGTACCCGTGAGTGGTCGTCAGTCTCGCTTCGAATGTGTTTACACTTGGAGTCGATGTCAGATGCGACCGTTCGGGCCGCTTCAGTCCCCACCCGAGATGATCCAGGTCAGGCCCTGGCTCCGGCTCCCTCTCCCCACAACACGTGTCGCCACTCCCCCCGAAAGGTGACTGGTCATGTCCCCACCTGTTCACAAGGAGCAGTGAGAGCCCTGTCCCCTGTAAACCTCTCTACACGCACCCCTGAGGGCTACTCTGTGACGCAGACCTGGCAGGGACCTGTGGGAGTAAGCAGAGTGCTGGCCAACACCTCCCGAGCACCAGCAACAGGACAGCACTGTGCGAAGAGGTCTCCACCCACCACCTTATACATAGTGTATATATACACTAGAGGCCCGGTGCATGGAATTCATGCAGGTGTGTGTCCCCCTCAGCCCGGCCTGCACCCTCTCCAACCTGGGATCCCTCTCACAATCCGAGACTGCTGGCTCCTAACTGCTTCTGCCTGCCAGCCTGATCGCCCCCTAACCACTCCCCTGCCGGCCTGATCGCTCCCTAACCACTCCCCTGCCAGCCTGATCGCCCCCTAACCACTCCCCTGCCAGCCTGATTGACGCCTAACTGCTCCCCTGCCGGCCTGATTGCCCCCTAACCACTCCCCTGCTGGCCTGATCGCCCCCTAACCACTCCCTTGCCGGCCTGATCACCCCCTAACCACTCCCCTGCTGGCCTGATCACCCCCTAACCACTCCCCTGCTGGCCTGATTGCCCCCTAACCACTCCCCTGCTGGCCTGATTGCCACCTAACCACTCCCCTGCTGGCCTGATCACCCCCTAACCACTCCCCTGCTGGCCTGATCACCCCCTAACCACTCCCCTGCTGGCCTGATCACCCCCTAACCACTCCCCTGCCGGCCTGATCGACCCCTAACCACTCCCCTGCCAGCCTGATTGACGCCTAACTGCTCCCCTGCCAGCCTGATCGCCCCCTAACCACTCCCCTGCCAGCCTGATTGACGCCTAACTGCTCCCCTGCCAGGCAGGTCGCCCCCAACTGCCCTCCCCTGCCTGCCATCTTGTGATGACGTGAGGGCGACCATCTTGTGATGATGTCGCATGAGGGCGTCACGCAAGGGCCCGACACCACCTAGGCTTTTATTATATAGGATGTGTGTGTGTGTGTGTGTGTGTGTGCGTGTATATATATTTAATTGATTTCAATTTCAGAGAGGAAGAAAGAGGGATAAAGAGATAGAAACATTAATGACAAAAGAGAATCATTGATTGGCTGCCTCCTGTACACCCCACACTGGGGATCAAGCCCACAATCCGGCTGGGAATCAAACCATGACCTCCTGGGTCATAGGTCAATGCTCAACCACTGAGCCACACTGGTCAGGCCTCATGTTATTCTTTGCATCTTTTTTTTTAATCCTCACCTGAGGATATTTTTCATTGATTTTTAGAGATAATAGAATAGAGAGGGAACGACAGAGAGAAAGATCGATGAGAGAGAAACACATCGATTGGTTGCCTCCTGCATGTGCTTTGACCAGGGCCCGGGCCAGAGAGGAGCCCGCAACCAAGGTACATGCCCTTGACGGGAATCGAACCCGGGACCCTTGGGTCCGCAGGCCGACGCTCTATCCACGGAGCCACACGACCAGGGCCCCAACTTCACAGATAAAGAAGCTGAAGCTCAGGAAGACGACGGATCTTGCTGAGGCCACACAGCGATGCAGGGAAGCAGGCTGCTGAGCCAGGCAGCCCAGGGCAGGGGCCGGGGCTCCCAGCCACCGAGCCAGCGGTTCTCAAAGTGAGGCCTCAGAGCAGCAGCAGCAGCAGCAGTGGGGAACGCCTAGTAATGAGACTCCTCGGGCCCCATCCCAGGCTGACGCCATCAGGAGCTATGGGGCCGGTCCAGGGGCCTGTGGTCCAGCAAGCCCACAGCATCGCCCTGGTGCCCACTCAAGGCTGAGAGCCAGCTCCAAGCGCTCTTCCCTCCCCCCCCCGCCCTCAGGGCATGCACGTGCCCCTGTGCGCAGTAACTAGGATTCCATAAGCACAGTGAACGCAGCCGGACGATCGGCACACGTGTTTCCCTTTACGAGATGCTGCCAAGATGCTCTCCAGCGCGGCCGGATCCGTTCTCCGACCAGAAAGAGAGCGGCGCCCCTGTCTCAGGACCTCTCGCCACCAAGTTGCAGTCAGAAAAATTCTAATTTTTGCTCGTCTGGGGTTTTAATTTGCATTTCCCTGACTCATGGGAATGCTGAGCGTTCCCCCTGATTGGTCAGCCCAGCTTGCTGGGCTGGGAGGGAGGAGGTTCGCAGGGACACACCCGGTGAGGCTGGGAGATGGCCCAGCTGGCTTCGCTCTCCAACAGGCAGCTGTCAGTCAGGGACATCCCTGCTGATGCCCCAGGCACCCCTGACCTCGCCCTTTCCCCTGGTGGCAGCCCCCACAGGGGTGTCCGGGGACCCTGATGGCTGGCTGGTCCTGGAACAGGAAGGGACTGGCCCGGATTACACCTCTGGTTGAGGCCGGAAGGGAAGCCAGGCCTGTGTGACCTGGGCAGCACCCCTCCCCCAGCCCCCCGGGTGAGAGGCTGCCCACAGGCCCCCAGTACCTCCGCGTCGTACTTCTCGTTGACGGCAGGCTCTGTGGTGACCAGCTTCATCCTGCTCGCGAACCGCAGCGAGGACAGCTGAAAGGGGACAGAGCTCGCTACTGGGGGCCATTCCTCATGAGGGGAGATATTTCAAAATAGGAAAGGGCTCCACTAGGATGGCGAACCCGTTTAGAGACAAGCTCCGCATCGGCCGCGGGGTCTCCTGCAATCGTGGAGTGACCTCAGGAGGGTCTTGCCCGAGCCCCTCTGGAGGGGCCGCCAGCCAGGGGCAATGACGCGGCCGCCACACACGCAGGCGCTGGGGACACGGCCGGACACAGCTGGACACGGCCCACCACGCGGCCGGCTGCTCCCTGCGGGGGAGGAGCAGTGGTGCCCGAGGCCACCTGAGACCCAGCCTCACGCGGAGGCCGGGAAGAGACGGGAGGGGGACAGGTCACCTGGGAGTGGCCCAGGGAAGGGCCGCCGGGTCTGGTGGCCAAGACTCCGCCGCGGACCCACTGTGCGACCTCGGGCAGGTCTGCGACTTCTGCCTCCCAGGGTCCCGGGGAGACCGGAGGTGAGGCGTGCAGCGTGCTCTGGGCAGCACCGCCCACAGGGAGCCGCGGCAGGGCCTCCATTCCCACAGCTGAGCTGCCCCGTGAGGGGCGGGCAGGCTCCCCCACCGCCAGCGCCAAGGCCACACGGCGTGTCAGCGAAGGAGCAACACGACCCTTGACAGGAACCGCCTTCCGGTTGTAAACATTTGGGGAACAGGGTCACCAGCTGCCACTCCCCAGTGCACCTCCGTCCCCAACCCTGAGGCCCCTCGGCCGCTCCTCGGGCTCCGGGGCTCGGCTCCGGGCACAGATCTCCAGCGGCGTGGGCACAGCTTTGGGGGCAGCAGGTGCCAGGAGAGCCGATTCCCGGGCAGTGGCCGTCTCTGGGGGTGGGGGGCAGAGGCCTCATAGGGCTCCTCTTGGGGTTCAGCCAGGAGACCAGGAGGCCCTGACGCCTGCCCCTGGGGAAGCCGCCTGAGCGTCAGAGGGAGCGTCCATCCCGCCCCCCGAGTCCAGGCCCTTAGCAGGCGGCTCCCTGGAAGCCGGACAGTCAGCCCCTCCTGCAGGAAGCTGGAGGCCCGCGGAGGGTCCTGCTCTGTGGTGTCCCGGGACAGGACCGACGAGGGTTATCCGATGGCTGAAGTGCCCTAAACACCCGCATTTTAAAAGCGAAATGTCTAGCCCGGCCGGCGTGGCTCAGTGGTTGAGTGTCAACCTACGAACCAGGAGGTCACTGGTTCGATTCCCAGTCAGGACACAGGCCCGGTTTGCGGGCTCCATCCCCAGTGTGGGGCGAGCAGGAGGCAGCCGGTCCATGATTCCCTCTCATCACGGATGTTTCTCTCTCTCTCCTTCTCCCTTCCTCCCTGAAATCAGTATTGTTTTAAAAAGTGAAAAGTCTAAGGCCGTGGTTCTCAACCTTCTGGCCCTTTAAACACAGTTCCTCATGTTGTGACCCAACCATAAAAATTATTTTCGTTGCTACTTCATAACTGTCATGTTGCTGCTGTTATGAATCATCATGTAAATATCTGATATGCAGGATGGTCTTAGGCGACCCCTGTGAAAGGGTCGTTCGACCGCCAAAGGGATCGTGACCCACAGGTTGAGAACCGCTGGTCTAAGGGGAGCTTTCCAAACCATCCGAGGAAGGCGGGGCGGGCTGGCCCCCAGTGGGGTGGGCTCGGCCTCCATAGCCTCCGGCTCTCCCGCCTTCTCCCTCCCCAGGTCGCCTGGGACCCTGCGGGGTGGATCTCCCTCAGTTACAATCTAGCCCAGCCCGTTCCTACTCAAAGCCCAGACAACCCGGCCCCCTGGGCCCAGCCACGGCCTCAGCCAGGCCGCCAGGGCCCACCCGGCCCTGCAGCTCCTCCCTCCTCTCCTTCTTGAGCCTCCCAGGCAGGGCCACCTGAGGGCCCACCAACCCTCTGCCAGGAACACCGCCCGTTCCCTGCCGCCACGCCCACTCAGCGCCCGCCTTCCTCACCCAGCTCCAGGGAGACCCCTCCCTCTGGGGGACCCCTCCAGCGGGGCTCCACCAACTCCCAGGCCCAAGGCCAGGCGTGGCTCCTCCCTACCCAGCTGCTCCCCTCCCACCGCCACCGCTTTGCACGCGGCAGATGTTTGACACCCATCGGTTCGTACCAGCCGAGTAAGCACGCCTGGAACCGGGTTCCTGTCGAGGTTTTTAACACGTCTGACCATGAGAACGCGGCGTCCGCCCTCCTCGGCCCAGCTCCAGGAGCAGCCCCAGCGAGCCTGTCCTCGCCCTCAGGGCTGGCTCTCGGCCTCCTCTCCTGGCACAGGCCCCTGCCCAGCCTGCCTCCCAGAGCTTCTGCCCCCGGGTTCTTGGTATTTGGATCCTGGCTGGACCCCTCTCAGGGATTTTGGCTCAGACTCCCCCCGGGTGCCTCCACTCCTGACCGTGCGTATGGCCTGCGTGCCGGCTGCGCCAGCCGGTCAGCCGCCCCAGCCCTGCCCCCATGTGGAGGGGTCCCCCCGAGCGCACCGGCTGCGCACGTACCGTCTCGTCCAGCTGGGCGGCTTCTCCGTAGATGTTCGTCACCAGGACCATGTTGCAGTTTCCCCCTGCAGGAGGCGGGACACGCAAGCCCATGAACGTGTGGGTTTGCTGCCCGGGATTCCCTTGAGGCTGGGGGGGTCGGTTATGAATAGAATGCGTGTGTGCCCTTCACGTCCACATGTTAGAGTCCTAGAAGAACTCGTTAGTCGGGACACTCGTAAGTCAAGGCCCCAGTGTAATTAGGTGTAGATGAGGTCATGAGGGTGGGGAACAGCAGAGGAGAGATGGCGTAAGGCCGGGAGGGGCAGGGGCAGGTTTTGCTCATAGTCGCACTCAGTTAATCACCAGACACCGCCCTGGCTGGTTTGGCTCAGTGGATAGAGCATCAGCCTGGGGAGTGACAGGTCCCGGGTTCGATTCCCGGTCAGGGAACAGGCCCAGGTTGCCGGCTCCATCCCCAGTGGGGGGCGTGCAGGAGGCAGCCGGTCCATGATTCTCTCTCATCACTGATCTTTCTCTCTCCCTCTCCCTCCCCCTGCACCAGGGGGCCCTCACCTAGCGAGTCCTTGAGGGCGTGGGTGAGCTTGCACTGCCGGAAGGGGATGTGGTCCCGCTTCTGGTCCCCGAGGGCGATGATCGCCTGCTCCAGGAAGGACAGCGACTTGTTGATGTAGGTGGCTTCCTTCAGGACGCGGCCCTCGGACTGCAAACCAGAGTCGGCTCCGCTTCAGACCCAGGGGGAGGCCGCCCCACCCAGAGCACAGCAGGCCTGGCCCGCGGAGCCTCCCTCAGGGTCGGGGGCTGTGCTCCATCCGGGCCCAATGCTGCCCACACGCGGCGGATCCCCCACAAGCACCCGTGGTGCCTGCGGACGTGAACACCGCGTGGACATTCATGTAAGAACTCACTGAACATCCACACTGACGTGAGCGTACATGTGGGTATTTGTGCAGTCACCTGAGCAGATAACCCTGCGGATATTCACACAAATAGGAGCACTCACACGAACGCACAGAGAACGCTCATCCCAATACACTGGCGAATGCTTTTTGTTGTTGTTGTTAACTTTTTTTTTCCATGTATTTTTCCACTTGGACATTTTAACATACCTTTTGAAGTTGCATATGTTAATTTACAATATTTCAAATTAGAATTTTAACCAGCTAATCACAACACTCCTTCACATACACGAGTAAAAAAGACTTTAATACACGCTACCTGCCTCGTTGGCCACTCTGCTAAGTTTTGGGTAGGGAGAGCGTATTATCCAAACCACAGTCAGAGAGGGTCGAAGCCCAAGTCTCCCTTACCATGGAGCTGAAAGGGAGACCAGATCCTACTACCCTCAGGCTAAGCAACTTCCTTTTTTTAACTTGTCAATCACGGTTGACATGCGATATTATTTTATATTAGTTTCGGCTGTGTGCTCTAGTGAATACTTACGCTAATACTCACATTCATACAAATATTTCAGATGAAACACTCAGGCAAACACTCCTGTGAACACGCACGCTCACTCAGAGAAAAGCTAATCACGTACTGAGCGCCAGGCTCCTTGTTAAGCATTTAGAGGCTACGCCCTGGCCTGTTTGGCTCAGTGGATAGAGCGTCGGCCTGTGGACTGAAGGTCCTGGGTTCGATTCTGGTCCAGGGCACATGCCCAGGTTGCAGGCTCGATCCCCAGTGGGGGACATGCAGGAGCCAATCAATGATTCTCTCTCATCATTGATCTTTCTATCTCCCTCTCTCTCTCCCTTCCTCTCTGAAATCAATAAAAATATATTTAAAAAAAAAAAGATTTAGAGCAGTGGTCTCAAACTTGGCTGCCCATTAGAATCACCTGGGAAACTTTTTTTGTCTCTTTTTTCTCTTGTCCGTGTCAAGC